ATGAAGCCTTGAAAGATAGGAATTGGGCTCAAGCCATGCAAGAGGAGATGAATGCTTTGGAGAAAAATAAAACATGGGAGGTTATTGATAGACCCAACGGAAAGAAAGCAGTAGGGTGCAGATGGGTTTATACCCTGAAATATAATTCTGATGGCACTCTTGAGAGATATAAGGCTCGATTAGTGGCCAAAGGTTACACTCAAACCTATGGCATTGATTATGAAGAAACCTTTGCTCCAGTTGCAAAGATGAATACAGTGAGAATCTTATTATCCCTTGCTGCCCATTACAATTGGGATATAAATCAATTTGATGTGAAAAATGCTTTCCTCAATGGTGAGTTAGAAGAAGAAGTCTACATGGAAATCCCGCCTGGTTTTGATTCTGTGAAGGGGGAAAATAAAGTTTGTAGATTAAAAAAGGCCTTGTATGGATTGAAGCAGTCACCTCGTGCTTGGTTTGGAAGATTTACTAAGGTTATGATGACCTTAGGATACAGACAGAGCCAAGGAGATCACACTCTTTTCTTCAAGCACTCCCAAAATGGGAAGCTTACTGTGCTCCTTGTATATGTTGATGATATTATTATCACAGGTGATGATTTTGTGGAGAGACAGATTCTGCAAACACGGCTTGCCTCTGAGTTTGAAATCAAAGACCTTGGGAAACTGAGATATTTCCTAGGGATAGAAGTAGCTCATTCAAGCAAAGGAATTTTTATCAGCCAGAGGAAATATGTTCTTGATCTTCTCAAAGAAGCAGGAAAGCTCGGGTGTAAACCCTCTAATACTCCTATTGAGCAGAATCACAAGATGGGCTATGAAGAAGAGAGTCCTCCAGTTGATAAAGGACAATATCAACGGCTAGTTGGGAAATTGATATATCTGGCCCATACTAGACCAGACCTAGCTTATGCTGTTAGTGTTGTCAGTCAGTTTATGCACGATCCAAAAGAAAAACACATGCAGGCAGTAGAGAGAATTCTTCAGTATCTTAAAGGTACTCCTGGTAAAGGATTGTTATTCCGACGTGATGGCAATCTATCTTTAGAAGTCTACACAGATGCTGATTATGCTGGATCCGTGACTGACCGTCGTTCTACCACTGGTTATTGCATGTTTCTTTGCGGTAACTTGGTGACATGGAGAAGTAAGAAACAAGATGTGGTTGCCAGATCAAGTGCAGAAGCTGAATTTCGAGCTATGGCTCAAGGCATTTGTGAGTTACTGTGGCTGAAAATTGTTCTTGATGATCTCAAAATAAAATGTGAGGGACCTATGAAGCTGCTATGTGATAATAAGTCCGCTATTTGTATAGCTCATAATCCAGTTCAACATGATCGGACTAAACATATTGAGGTTGACCGCCATTTCATCAAAGAGAAACTTGATAGCGGGTTGATTACCACTCCATACATTCCCACTGGGCGTCAATTGGCTGATCTATTAACAAAGGGGCTTCCTTCAGACAGATTTCAAGAACTTACTAGCAAGCTGGGAATGATAAATATTTATTCCTCAGCTTGAGGGGGAGTGTTGTAAATAATATTGATTTAGTTATTATTTAGTTTTTATTTAGTCATTTATTGTTGTATTGGGCCAAGCCCTTTGTTGTATTGGGCCAAGCCCATTAGGTTAAAAGTAGGTCAAATATTCTCTATAAATAGAGAACCCTTTGTACAGATTATTTACAATTCTATAATATATTAGAATACCCTTTTTCAAGTATTTATTTACTTTTCATTAACATACATACAAACGGTAACATTAATATTTTTGAAAAAAGACAGTTGAATTAACATTGCCATAAACTACAGTAGATCAACAATCCGTAGGCTGGCGTGAAGGACAATTACGTCTATTGTGTCCAACAACCCTACAATAACCGCAATGTGTGCGAGTAGTGGTCCCTTCCCGGATGTCCATCTCATTTTGTATGCAGGTACTTTTAGGCCGACCTTTCTTACGTCTCATAGCTACATCTGGGATAATACTTGGTCCCTGGCTTGGTGGTATGAAATCCTCATTGCCAATCGGGTACCATTGCCTTGAGTACACCTGACATTGATATTGGGCACTATATGCAGGATCAATGTATTGAAATGGGTCATGGTTTGTGGAGGTGCAAGCTGCTATGACATGACTACATGGGTACCTATAAGCCGTGAATTCACCACATTGACATGTCCTATCAGCTAATGAAACCGACCATTTTTTACCGCCCCGATGAGTACGTTGGTTTTACGATTCCTGCACCTCAAATCGTGTCTTTTGAGGATCATAACATGTAACAAAGTGTGTTGCGGCTTTTTGTTGATTTGCAACATATGCTTGCCAAAGTACTTTGGTGAATCGGTTACCCCATTCCATCTCTTCACGGGCCTCTTGGCCATGTTCCAAAAAATATTAAGCTAATCGGGCATATGTGAGTCGCACCAAGGACGTGATAGGAAGGATTCTGCCACCTTTGAGGACCTTGTTTACACACTCTGTCAAGTTAGTGGTCATGTGACCAAACCTTCTGCCCTCTACATCGTATGCAATGCTCCATTTCTCCTTCGGTACACGATCTATCCATGCGGCTATTTGAGGACTAGCTTCTTTTAATTTTTCTAATCCTGCATCAAAATCCAATCGGGAAGTTGTATAACCTGCATAGAATTATAAGGTCAGATATCGATGACACATGGTATGGTTAATCAGATTCCTGAATTATAAGTTGTATAACCTGCATAGAATTATACCTAGCTTCTTCAGTTGCTTCTTTAACATCACATTCTTGAATTTATGGTTAAAATTACTGGCAAGATGTCTAATACAGTACACATGGTATGCTTTTGGTGGTTGCCATCCAAGCGCTGCATTGTTGACTGCAGACAGTATGGCCGCATGTCGAACAGAAATAAGACAGAAGCCATCTTTTTCTGTCACATGCATCCGTATTAATGCTAAAAACCATGACCAATCATCAAGATTCTCTCCAGAAACCACCGCAAAAGCAATTGGCAGAACATAATTATTGCCATCCACAGTTGTAGCAATTAATAGGGTCCCCCGATATTTCCCATATAAGTGGGTACCATCTATCTCAATAACCGGCTTGCAAGACTTGAAGGCGTCGGCACACTGTTTGAAAGTCCAAAATACCCTACGAAACACCTTTCGAGATGTATCCAGCCGATTATCAACAAATTGATCTGCCAAATCCAGCTTCTAAACAGCCCCTTGTGAAAATAGCGACATGTAATCTAACCATCTTGGAAGAAACGCGTAAGACTCATCCCAATCCCCATAAATTTTGACAATTGCCTTTTGTTTTGCCTTCCACGCTTTCCTGTACGATATATGAAACCCATGATTTGTTGCTATCCTTTCTTGGATTAGAGCAATTTTAATACACGGCTCCTCTCTAATCATTCCTGCATTTGTCGAAGATTTATATGTTAAATACTTTAAAAAAATCTTGACACCAATTTTCTGGAGTTTTACAAATTAGAGTCCAGTTGTTTGTGATCTCGAGAAAGAGTTAGGTTAACACAATTATGTTCGTTAACCCATTTGTCGATAACCCATTCAATGCCGCCCCTTTTAACGTGTGCCCTCATCCTCCGCAGACAACCGTTGTTATGATTTTCACATACCATGATTAATCTTTTGGTATCACTTTTTGACACAACAACTGTACGATGCTCAGCCATACAAAATTGCTTTATTGCCATCTGCACATCGTGCTTGTTCTCAAACACTTGATCTTTATACAGCTCTTGACCCATCTTCCAGTTAGGTTCTTGTGTTCCATCCACAGTTGTAATCAAATAGGTTTATTTTAGACAAAAAATTTATTTTCTTTTTACGAGCGTTTAATGTGATTATGTTATGATTTTTTAGTATTTTTTTATTTTCACTTAATTTTTTTTTTGTACAATTCTTTTACAACATGAAGTTTTTCCTTTTTCTTTTCTCGTTTTTTTTAAAAATATGTGAAGAATAAATGATTCAAAAAATTACTACACTTAAAAAGTTCATATGTTCATAAAATCTTGTAATTATTACAAAACTATTAACTTTTGAAATAAAAAATTTAATAATGTCATGAATTTAATATAATTAATATATGATATAATAATATTGATATCTTTACAAAAATATATAGTATTAAATAATTATAAATAGCACAATCGTAACGACTAAGGGATTCTTTTTTTAAGATAATTAGCGGCAAAATCTTAGCCACGCGTTGAAGTATAATAGCTGTAGGCATTGTTCATTCTCCCTCTCTCCTCTTCTTGATCTCTTGATAGATAAAGTTGTTTCAATTGTCCTGTAATTTATAACGGTATAGTGATTTTTTGTTTTCACGGCTAAATTGTTAAATTTTAATCGTTGATTTATGATAATCGAATGATTATAATTTATTAAAAATTAATAATTAATTAATGGAAAAAAATCTATCCTTTTAAAAGATATAAACTTATATCATTTTTTATCATAACCGTTGATTTTCATCTATCAACGATTATAATCTATTGGATCAAACTTAATGGGCCAAATTTATTATTAATTAATTAATAATTTTGATCCAATAAATTATAACCGTTGATAAACGGAAATCAACGGATATGATCTAAAATGATATAAGTTTATATTCTTTAAAATGACAGATGTTATTTCCTTAATTAATTAATAAATATGACCTAATAAATTACAACCATAAAATTAACAGAAATTAATGGATAAGATTTAATAATGATAAATAATAAAAAAAAGATAGCAACTATAACATTACATTTATAATTTACAATTTGTTTTAATCAATTAAGATGCGAATAATAACCGTTAAAACGTTAAAATAAAAGCCAAATCAAATCTATAATCAAATTTGATTAGATTCTTATATCTGTTCTAAGCAAATTTCAAATTAGGCCCATTGACCAGCAATTCCAATTTGCAAAGTAAGTATAAGATTCTGTTTTGATATGAAGATTTCATTACTATTCGTAAAAAACAAATCTTTAAACAATCTGTGAAGATAATTTCCTATATTAAAGGCCTAAAGCAATGCAATGTATAATCGCGAAAATCTGGTGAGGGATTTCAGCAATTACAGTTGTATGTACGCGTTGTTACTCCTTTTAATCCTTATTCTTCTTCTTCTTCTCTCATTGTTTTCTTACACTCTCTTCTCTGTTCTCTCTTTCTTTCTGCCTTTCTTGCTATTCAAGGTTGCTTCACTACTCCATGATGCTGCTGCATTGTCATTCTTTTTCATTTTTTAAATTATTCAAAGTTCTCCTTTTTCGATTTTAGGGTTTAGGGTTCTACTTGTTTTCCGAAGTTTATTCTGTTTCTGTTGATTTCCACTACCGTTGCATGTTGCAATTAATTATGTTTCTGTTGATTTCCACTACCGTTGCATGTTGCAATTAATTACTCCCGTTCACCCATGGCTACGATTGGTGATATCTGGGAAGGATTTAATTTTAAACCCTAAGCCGTTAAGGTTTTTTGTTGTGTACATTTATTTTATCGGTTACTCACTCCTTTATTTGATTTTTTTTTAGTGTGTGAAGCAGTCTTTTGGGATGAGAAGGGATATGGCGTATTCAAATGACGAAGCTGAGGCCGTGTCTTTGTGCGTGTCAAATTACCACCTTGAAGATGAAAAGGATATGCCGGTATCTTTTTCTGTGTTGCCAGTTCAATGGGGTGATTCTGAGAATTCTGATGATGCCAACAAAGAGCAGGTATTCCTGCATGGTTTGGCCGATAATGGGCCGCAGAAGATTTTCATGCAAGTCATGGGGTGGAGATTTGATCTTTCCAATGCGAAACCTGAGATATCCTTGCTATCAAAGGATAGAAAGTGGATCAAGCTTCAGAAACCAAGGAAGAGCTTTATGGATACTATAAGGACCATTTTAGTCACCATTCACTTCCTGCATCGTGTAAAGCTGAATCCCCAAACATCTGCAAAATCTGTCTGGGATAACTTGTGTAAAAATAAGGAGTTGAGGTGTGTTTTTTTTTTCCAGACTTCTGGTTTTTTCATTTTCTGATACTAATTTCTGCAAAGTACATTTCGTGACATACTTTTTTTTTTTTTGGAAATTATTTCTAGCTCTTATGGTTTTAAGCCTTCTCAAAATGATATATCGGAACATATGCCTTTAATTGGTGAAGCTGCCAAAAGGGATGCCGCCTTATCTAAATCCAAGGTTTGTATTTCCTTTTTCAAAGACATTGTGGTATTAAACTAGAAAACTAGCATTTTTTCCCTCTTCTCCTTCTCCTACTCCCCTTTGGAAACTAATGATTAATTATGGTTTGAGTTTAACATTATACTTTCAGTAAATTAGTTAAACTAACTGCTAGTTGCTAGAAGCTAAAATTTATATTTTCCTTAATTTAAAATTTCCTTGAGGTGTGTGTTAGTTGATGCAAGACTTAGAGCTGTTTTTGGGTTATCTTCTTGGTTTCAAGTCTTAGAATGACAGATCATATGATTATACTTTATCATATTTTTTGAGTAGTTCAAGTAAATGGTTTTAGTTTCATAGGTAAGCGAGCATTACATTTTGAAGTAGATTTTTAATGGAGCGGTGTCTATCAAGACTCAGGAGACTTTATTAAAGGAGGATGTTAAGTGGTGGAATTTGTGAATGTCAATAGTCTTGTTAACAGCATAGGTTTACATTGTTAGCAGGAGGGGATGAATGCATAATAATAATTGTATCATAACGAATCCTTTGAATTTCATTTTAAGTAGGCTACATAAACCTTCTTTGTACTTGGAATTAGATCATGGATCTATGACATTTCTAGTTTGAGAATATGGAGTTCATGAAGTGGATTGTGCACAAACTTGAATTATTACAAGCTGTTTGATCTCAGATACTGTCTTACCTTTAGCAGTTTATATTTGTGACGAAGTGTTGGTTGATTCATGTCTCTGTTTCTTTTAATTTTCTCCTTGTTTTGCAACTCTCTTTTTTTCTCCTTTTACTTGGTTCTTTTGCTAAAAATTTTGCTTATACAAACTAACAAAATTTGAATGCTACTTTCCTTTCAATAAAAGCCTTGGTGTTACAAGGCTTGATTGTAGTTGTTCCCATCATATGTGCTTCATTTTAATGACAATTACATGATGATTTCAGCAGTTTTTGCTCTTGGTTTTGGAGAAGAAGTTGGGGATTCAGAAACTTTCGAATGAGGTTTGTTAAATATTTATTTTTCCTTCCATGAAGATGATCTTCTCTGATATTTTTGTTCCTTTTTTTTTTTCTTTTTATTCAAGTCATATTTATTGTTTTTAATATTTTCTTAAGATTTTAATGCTTGATTTCAGAAAGTTAAAGATTTGGCTCAACCTCAATGTATAGTTGATGATAATGACAATGATATGATAGATGAACCTAGTGAAGAGTCAGAAGCAGAGGAGGATTTGTTGGATTCTGTTTGTGCACTTTGTGACAACGGTGGTAAACTTTTGTGGTATGAATTCTTTTTCATATGGGTTAATTTATTATAATGTTTTATTTCTGTCTTGTGTATCTTTGACTATAGATAATTTTGTTAAGAATTATAGGAATAGTAACTCTGAATAGTGATATATTATATTCACATGGTGTGTAATAATGATATATGAAATGCTATTAAAATGGTTCTATTTATACTAATCTTTAAGTCAAGTACTAGTACCATATGACCAAGGTTATCAAATCGTGATTGTGTGTGTGTAAGATTTAAAGACATGTGCGCACACACACTCTCGCGTGCGCACGCACGTGTGTATGTGTGTGTGGGGTGCTAAATGTGTGAATAAAAGAAAAAATCATTAGTCATAAGGTCATATAGTTGATTCTTGTCATCAACATATATCTAAGCTCATAAATAAAAAAATCATAATACATAACTGCATATGTAACCTAGTCTAAAAGTAGTTATCCTCCTACTTATCAGTCATCAAGTCTAGCATTATTACTATAACGATGAGTTGAGTCATCATCTAACATAATTAATCCTTCATCTTCTTCCTCTTCAGTCTTACTATCATCATCTCCTATACCTTATTCATTAGTATGAATGCCTTTTCCTTTATCATTCTTGTGGCAATTCCCTTACTCCTACCCTAACAAGTTGAGGTTTAATGGGGAGTGGTTTTATTTATTTATTTATTTTGGATGACTAATTGATTATATAATATATTCTAAAGAAATTCTAAATGAGTCTAAACTTACTCTAAATAAATTCTAACAAATTCCTTATAATGAATTACATGATTTTCTCATTTGCCTACTTGTAGAATAGTATTTGCTTATATTCATAATTTTAACTTATTGAATGATAATGCAGTTGCGATGGAGCGTGCATGAGGTCATTTCATGCTACTGGGGAGGATGGTAGAGACTCTAATTGTGATTCTCTTGGTTTTACGCGGAAGGAAGTCAATGTATGATAATGTTATTTTCTTTTTATATGTATTTTAGCTGTCCTTTTCCACTTCATATAATCATGTAGAAATTTGTTTTCTTGTGGCAAAAATTTGCAGGTGATCCAGAGCTTCTATTGTAAGAATTGTAAATATAATCAGCACCAATGTTTTGCATGTGGCAAGCTGGGATCTTCTGATAAAGTTAAGTGTGAGGTATGGCTATGGCAAATAAAATCGCTTGCTCTTTACTTGTTGATTAGTTCATTTATATATTTTTCCATAGCCGGATGATGTGCCACCTAATCCTTGTTAGTCTTTTTAATACAAATTATTCTTTGTTACAATTTTAATCGAGGAGAAAGAGCTTTTAGCATATTCGGCTTTGCTTCTACTTTTAATGTAAGGTTTTGGTGATGTATGTGGTGGCACCTTGTTGTAAACGCAAACATCAATGAAGGTCCTAATGGCCACTGAAGATCTCTTGTGCAATTCATTATCTCTATTGCTTTATATTTTGGTTTCTTTGGGGTTTATTGAGTCATGGATCATTCAGTAAATGAGTTGTTTCCTGGCTGGAATGGCTAACCAGAGATCTCAAAAGTTTTGGACGAAGTAGCTATACCTCATTTGAAAGACATGTTTCTGTATTTATACTATTTTTTATTTAATTTTATATTATAGATGCAATGTTTTATTTTCTTTATAAGCCTTCCAGTTCAGATGAGCTGGATGTCAAACGATTTGCACAGAATCTCTGAAAATGATTGGAGCTGATTTTTTTTTTTTTTTTTTGCTACACACATTCTGTAGCCAGCCCAAGCCTGCCTATTGAACAAATTTTTGGGGGAAATACCTTGTATGTTGTAGACCTTATGACCTGAAATGTGAGAAGGGGAAGGGCAATTCCCATATATTTTCCACAACATGCGCTTTGAATCTCTCACTTGCTTTTTGTATTTTTCTCTTCAACAAATATTGACATCCACAAAAATAACCTTCTTTATGGATGCTTTAAATCTGTATTTCAAGAGTTCATGCTGCCTTTATCAGGGATTGAGTTGCCATGATGTTGGTGTTTGACTTTGCAGTACATTGTTTGATTCCTTTGAATTATGATGATTTAAGCCCTATCCAAAAGTATGAGGCAACCTGTTTAAATGGAAAACGCCTAGTTTATAAAAGATAAATTAAATTTTTGCTCAACAGTTTCTTTTACTTATTTTCCGTACAGCCTTGATAAGTTAGGAAAACATTAAGGTTTTGGTGAACCTTGTAAAATTGGCTGTGCTTCCAACCTTACCTTCCACATGCCAAGTTAATTTGTTTATGTATCCTTGTTCTCCTATCATGCATTCCTGTGAAATATTGATTTGAAGACTTAGTTCTCCTGCTTCAAAGTCTGTAATATCTGTTCTTGATTTCGATTGATTTGTTAAGATATTAATGGCTTTTGGAAACAAGAGGCTTTTCTCCGGAGCCTCCTTCTGTTGTACGGAACTAAGTTATTTTGGGAATTCCTCTTTCAGGTCACTAAATGTTCTTCTGCAACCTGTGGCCGTTTTTATCATCCACGTTGTGTTGCGAAGTTACTTCCCATGGTAGTTAAGTCTAAGCATGTTGGAGAGGAATTTGAGAAAAATATCGCCGATGGTCATCCTTTTATTTGTCCTGTTCATTATTGTTGTGTCTGTAAAGAATTGGAAAATAAGATGGAACCTGAGTTGCAAATGGCTGTTTGTAGGCGTTGTCCAAAGTCCTATCATCGCAAATGTTTGCCAAGGTTATTTCTCTCCTTTTCTGTGTTTCTTGTCTTCATTTTAATATTTTAATTGATATTGTCCAGACAACTGACTCTCAAGTTGCTTTTATCAGACAGATCTCTTTTGATGATGAAGATAATTTACCAAGGGCTTGGGAAGGTCTTCTATCAAACAATCGTATTCTTATATATTGTTTGTAAGTGTTATATCGGTGTTTTTGTTTTTTCAATTAGCCCTTTGAGACGCTACTTAAGTTTTTTTACTGTTACTTGGAACAGAAATCATGAGATTGCTGATGAACTTGGGACTCCCAAAAGAGATCATTTAAAATTCCCCAATGTTAAAGGCACTGTTCCAGAAATTAATGGTGCTGATGAGAGGACAAAACCTGCGGACAAAGGGAGAGTTATACTGAAGGAGAACAATGTTGGCAAAGATAAGGGACCTAATTTGATTGGAAGACTGTCATCTGGGGAACTTAGTAAGAAGAACAAATCAAAGTCAAATGAAATGAATAAGGGTTATGAGCGAATCAAGCCTGTCAATCAGGTTGATAATGAGACCCCGTTGGTTGAGCCTATTAGAAAGTTGAGTTGTTCACTGCCTCTATCAGATGCTGATTCAAAGAAGAGGTGTCTAATCTGACTTCTGAGTTGCTTATTTTCTTGCTATTGATTCTTTTTGTTCTTTCAAGAGTATTTCTTTAATGGTTGGCATTATGATGTAATTCCGTTGATTCTTGTCTGAAACTTGAATGCTGACATTATTTCCTCCCATGTAGTTTGTTGGCTTTGTTTAAAGAAGTTAGATCATCAGTTACGTTGGAGAGTGTAAAGCACAAGCTTGCTTCTACTCATACTCACGCATTCAGAAATGTTCTGGAGGAGACCATTACAATGGAGAAGCTGGAAGGATCAGTCGATGTACGTACCCATTTTTATTACTGTGGTGTCTCTTTGTGGATCTTCTTGTACGATTATGTGTTCTGTCTTGTGTATATACAGGCTGCTCGAACACCTCTAAGGAAGCTAGAGAGTGAGTGCAGCATTCAGGATGTAGAAGCTGTTTGTGACCCTGATGTTCTGAAACATACTATTGATCATACTATTGATCGTAATAAAGGTAACAACCTCATGCTAAATCATGATCTCTTAAAGTCAACTAATGATCAGGAAGTTCAAGCATCTATAAATGAAGGTCAGAAAAGAAGTTCACATCATGGTAATGTTAACCAAGAGAGACAACAGGGACAGAAATGTAGGATGAGCAAGTCTCACAAGACATCACGGAAGAGAAAACACATTAGGGAAAATGAGACAAGAGGACAGGGTGTGGGCTCACCAGCCAAAAGGCAGGCTGTAAATGAAATGACTGAAGGGGTACCTGACCATAGCCAACCCATTCTTATTGATGAGAGATCCCCAGTTGCTGACCATAGCCAACCCATTCTTATTGATGAGAGATCCCCAGTTGAAGGTTTTCAGCCTAAATCCGATATGGCATCTCCACAAGTTGAGGTTGGTGATGACAATTACCAGTTGGTGCCGGTCTCAGATGTTGTAAAAAACAATAGTGGGATTACAAATAATAGAAGTGGCACTTCTGAACGTATTGTGCCCCAACCTGGACATCGTTGTGTGCTGAAGGGTTTTGCTTCCGGTCCTCACGTTGAATATTCACGCAGGCATTCAGCTGGTTGGCTCGAAGAGTAGTTAAAACATATGTTGTTTTATTAATTTTTTTTCCTTTACTTCTGCATAATGATGCTACATGCTGTACATAGATGATCTTAAGATGGAGGTTGTTTATTTGGTGGTTTATTTAGTTAGGCAGGACCCTGTAGTTATCATTTCAGATCTGGTATGATTAGATTGCTTCTTTGTCCTGGCTTAAATGTTCTGAGCATCTCACCATTGATTATAGTAATCTGATCAAGGAAAGGAAAGAAGCCTTTGAATTGACAGGGTAAATAAATAGATGATGTTTGGTAGTAGTACTGAAATAATTTTTATTGTGCAACATGATAAATCTGCTTCTTTGTGATCATAATCTCAAAACAGCATTTTTAAGTAAGGGTAAAATTGTGGTTGAGTCCGGAGTGATGCACGAGTTGATAGTATTATTACAGTTGATGGATATTTAGCCTTTCCTCAATTTTTGAGGAATGGCGTAGATAACAGCAAAAGGCTATAGAAGCCTCTACAATGAGCACCTAAAAACCAAAATTGCGACAATTGAGTTTCAACTTGTAAAAATTGGTTTAGCGCATCATATTCTGGCACATTATTTTGGAAATGATTAGGTGTGACTTGTTTGTTTTGAACCGTGATAAAATTGAGTTATGTAATTAAATTTTTTGAAAAAAAATAAACTTGATAGAATTTATTCTATTTATTTTCATTTTATTTCACTATCTTTTTGTGTATTTATGAAATAATTAAATAAAAATTTATATTATCATAAAATATTTAAATAGTAACATAATAAATTTATACCATATTTATCATATTTCGTTTTATTTTATCTCATCTGTTTTTATTCTGTTTTATTCGTAAACCATCATGTTCTAGTTTGTTACAGCTTAAATGCAAGGCTGTACATTTGTTATTTTCCCCTCGTTTTGCACTTCGGAATAAAATAATATAAATCTCAAAGCTCTAACTCGGCACGTGGGTGAATGATATTTCGCAAGAGCGCACACGTTGTGATCACGTGACATTGCGAAAGACAACCAACCAAGCACATGTGACCACTACATGATGCTGCATTTTTTTTTTTTTGGTTTGTCTAATTACCAAGCTTAAATATTCAGGTCGATGCAAAATAAATAATTTTCTATATATTCACATAAATTTGTATTTCTTCAATTATTGTTTTTAAGGCTTGATGTTTGTCATTTTAAATGACATAAGTTAGGGGTGTTCGCGGTCTGGATTGGATCAGTTTTGTAAGTAAAAATCATCCGATCCAATCCAATTTTTTGGATGGGATCGGTTTTCGGTTTTTTAAAAATCCTGAAATTTATTTCATGGTTATTGTGGAAATAACATCTTTTGTATATATTGGCTTTGTAAATCTTATTTTTTTTAAAATACAAAAGAATCAGTAAACAATAATATAATTTTTTTTATGGGCAATGAGATATGAAGCTCTACACAATTAAAATTTTGTTAATGAGATGTGACTAGATTTTTTCTTAAGTTTAGATGATGAATTATGGATCTTGGGTTTAGAAATTTGTAGGCTATGATTTGGAAAAGGCCCATGTAGGTAGAGAGAAATTAATATATTGGATCGGTTTGGATTGGATCGGTTTTCATCAATCAATCCGAATACCGATCCAATCCAATTAAAATTTGCGGTTTTTTTTCGGTCTTCGATTTTCGGTTTTCGGTTTTCAGTTTTTTGGTTCGGTTTCTGCGGTTTGAATCGGTTGATGAACACCCCTAACATAAGTTATGTCATTTTAAGAGAGAAATAGATACAAAAAACAAAAATCATGAGAGAGAGAAAGTGAGTGTTTTTTTTTAATTTAAAATTTAAATAAAAAAATTTATTCTGTATTTATCTCTTAAAATGACATAACTTTATGTTATTTAAAATATGACAAACACTTTTTCTTTATTTTTAAAATAAGTAATCAAATATATAGACTAAAGTAATTGGATGTCTATTTACCAAAAAAAAAAAAGTAATTGGATGTCACCTCACCACCGTTGATATCAATACAAAAAGCAAAAAGTAAAAAGTATTGTAGGGTTGCTATTGCTAGTTGGATTCTTTGTCAACAAAACTTTTTCAGATTAGAATCATAAAAGTGGCTGAACAAGAGGGAGAAGGGCTAGGTATAGAAGAAGAGCATGTTAAGCTCAAAATGTATGGAATTGGAAGTAGAAATTAAGAGCTTAATGAAGGCATGGCTTTCAGTGATAGCCTCTCTATGTTACTGTTATTTCATATCAACAAACATACCTAAAGGCATATTCAGGTTTCTATCCATATCCCCTGTTTTGTACCTCTTCACTATCCTACCTCTTTCAACTCTCCACTGTTCTTCCAACAGGTGTCACTGCCTTCTTCATCACTTGGCTCACCAACTTCAAGCTCCTTCTATTCACCTTTGATTTGGGCCCTCTTTCATCTAACCCACCAAAATCCCTTCTCATTTTCCTCTCCTTTGCTTCCCTCCCAATCATAATCACCCAAAAAAAAACATACCCTTCTTACCAAAACCCCTCAAATTTGCATCTTTTTCTTCCAATTAAGGCCTTCCCTTTTGTTCTTTTACTAATTGCCCTAATTCACCACAAACAAAAGCTGCACCCCACAGTTCTTTTGGGTGTTCACTGTAGCCTGTTATATCTAATGGTGGATGTTGTTTTGGGACTCATCAACATTGTGGTCAATGCTTTACTTGGGATTGAGCTTGAATTGCCGTCTGATGAACCTTATTTTTCAACTTCATTGGGTGATTTCTGGGGAAGAAGGTGGAACCTTATGGTAACATATCTTCTGCGACACACTGTATACATTCCCGTGAGATCAATGCTGTCGAAGACCTTATTGGGCCCCCATTGGGCTTCATTGGCTGGAGTCATTGCTTCTTTCTTAGTGTCTGGGCTTATGCACGAGTTGATATTCTATTACGTCACATGTGCCTCTCCCACGTGGGAGGTAACGTGCTTCTTTGTGCTTCGTGGGGCGTGCGTGGTTATAGAGTTTGGTGTCATGAAGTGGTTGGGCCCAAAGTGGAGACTCCATTGGGCTGTGTCTGGACCCATCACGGTGGCTTTTGTCATGGTCACTGCTGCATGGTTCTTCTTTCCACCGCTGTTGCGTGATGGCGTGGATGAGAGATCCATCGAGGAGTTAACCAATTTAGTTGATTGTATAGTGGAAAAATTTTACAAAGGTTCAAGTCTTTTAAGACTGTAGTTTTATGCTATAATACATTGATACTTCAAAAAATTTGACGTGTTGCCGAAACTCAAAAAAAAGTTCAAAAATTACATTACGTAATATTTTTAGTTCCAATTATAATATTTATTGTATTACGATTATCATTTTATTGAGTTTAATATAAATATTTGTGTTATCTTATGTTTCTTTGCAAAATTAATGGGTATTATAAGTTTAACTTTATTTTTTGGTTAAATTATTGAATATTAAATATAATATATACTACATAAATTAAAAATATTATTTAATATCAAAATGTGTACTAACATGTCAATATTTAAAAAAAAAATTAGAATTAATGTGTTAAAGTGTAGTGATGTGTTTTGTGTCCATATCGATATCGGTGCAACATAGATTTTATGTAACAAAAATAAGCTTTTCTGTGTTTACTTCTTATTCATGTAATCACGCTTCAAAATTAAAAAAGTAAATAGTACTTAGAAAATAAATATTTAATAATTTGAAATTTTAAAAAATATTTAATTATTTGCTTTTAAAGTCAGGTTATTTGTATCTAGCTAGCTCGATAGCATTTTGTGGCGATCATATGATATATGCTGCATATTACCAACTAACCTTATTTCAATCCCAACTTACGTGCTTTTAAGGCACACAATTATATAGATTTTATGCATAAATTTTAAAATATTTAAGAAAACGACCTATTATTATATTGTCATTATGATCTCATGCATTATTGCACATACCACTGCTGTCACCCTTAGGGAAAAGAAGAATGTCACCCGCCATCAGTTATTTTCTACAGAATTGTACATAAGAAGTCCGAGAGTTGCATGAACGATTTCCCCCTCTCATCAGTTATTTTCTTTATATAGTGATAAACTCCAAGATATAATTTTCTTACATCAACTTATTTCACCAAAATACATGATACCACTCTACCAACTTCAGAAATGACTAAAAGGTTAAATACAACAATTGCAACATGGTTAATGACAGCCAACAATGGAAAATCCAATTGAAACGTCATATTATCCAATAACAAATACATATAGATCCACCCATAGAAAATAATGGAATCATTGAGAGCCGAAATCAAATTCCCTCCAGCAGCCAACATGTGATTCATATTCTCTAACTTACATCCGTTCAGACAGAAATTTATTCGCCCTCACTCAGAATAGGTACTATGAGCGGTTTCATCTGTGCCAGATATACAATCGCCCACCTGGTAAAACAAATGAAGCACCAAATTAAGCTTAGTGTGGCATCTTATCACCCAAAAAAAAGTCATCTTAATGGCAAACAAAACAGGACATAGCTATTCACAAGTTAGAGTTACTATTGGACCAAAAGAAAAAGTACTCATAAATTAATGAACAAAAGTTTATTGACAAAAAAAATATTGAAGATTTTGGAATAAACTATCCCAAAAAAATCACTAATTCAACTAAACAATGTGTTGTTACATTACATCTAAAGGCCAATTTCCTCCCTCCCTTATCTATACTGGACATACTGTCAGATAGCATTTATTCTGTGATGAGGAAGTCAACATCCTCTCTACAAGTGTTCACTGAATTTTATTACATTTCCATTTAATAACATCACGACAACTACATTAGAGTGAATTTACACATCCAGCAAAAGCCAAAGTTTCCCATCACATATTCTTTAGTCTCCTTGTGAAATAAGGCGGCAATATGCCCCACTTTATAAACGAAAGTAAAGCAACAAGGCTTATATTGCCTAAACATATCCCAATTTTACGAAGTTCATCTATTCCTCTTCAATCACTTTTACTTAGTGCTGCTACACAGGACACAAAATTTGACTAAAAAACATTCAAAATTCATGTGGCAGTATCATGGCCATAGATAGCAAAAGGACAGGTATGGAAACAAACAGCCTCAACAGAATTGGTTATAGATACATTCAGCCTAAGAAGTTATTCATTTGGGGGGAGGGGGGAAGAAAAGAAAGATGTTTCTTTTAGTGTATTCCTTTTCCAATTGATCCAATACCTTGCCAGAGAAATAAGCGCACATACACAACGTATGCATGTTCCAATTACTATTCTAACTTTATGCAAACTAAAAGAAGAATGTAAATCAAATATGCACTTACATCATCCAGCAGCATATTGTTGCAGTAAGAACCAAAGTTAGGTGAAATCTGTAACAGAATAATAAGATATTAGTTCATACACAGAAAGGTAAGAGAGGAAATTTTAATTTAAAAAATAAAAATAAAGAGAGAGGAGACACAACAAATATTTAAGGGAGTCATTATCAAGAATAATTAAATCTCTTTCTTCTTCCGATCAACTTATATCATTTTAGAAATCCACTTCAGTACTAAATAAATATAAATGTCAGGTTGTAAAATACAGCAAGATGTTGTCATAAACTATTCATAACGAAATCAGCTATTAAATAGAGCAGCATATTCACAAAGATGTTGACAATATCTGAATCATGTAAATGCAGGTATTCGTAAGGCTTATTAGAAAAAAAAAAACATCATAATTCCTTCAATGATACAATAAGATAAAGCCACAAACCTGGAGGCACTGATCCTATATAGTTTTTAACCGATTTAGATTCGAATAAACATTAGAAAGTTGGCATCCAGAAACATCTTTCTAAAAAAATGCACATTTTTCCCTACCTATCAGTTAAGCCAGATTATGAATTTATTTATTTTCATTTTCTGTAAGATATTCCAAAGTATATTTTGAAAATGGGAATTCTTCTCTGAAATGTTAAGCTTGCAGAGTTATCTTATTATCAAGATGTTCGGCTCTATTTGTCCTAGGTTTGATAATGGAAATCCATAAATTTGAACTAAATGAAGTAAGAAACCATAGAAAACCCATTATGAGATTGTCCAGCCATACCCTAAAACAAAAAAAGCACAACCTAATGCTATAAAGCTCCCGATATGCACCCGGGCGGAAAAGGCAGACACATTATGTGAGTCTTTATCCAAAAATCCCGTGACAACAACACTAATCGTTGTGCCAAGGCTCCTTAAAGCCATAACAATAACATAACCAAATTTAAGATTTGTAAAGTTGAGAAGCCCATAACAACATCCTATTGAATGTTTCCACGCCTATATTAAACCCGAAGGGGAAAATAAAACACAATTTATACCAATTCACCAAACACCAATTATTTGGTTACTTCACTGAAACTACCCAAAAAAAAGTTGTAGTGTACTCCAATTTTGTGCATGATACCCTAATTCAAGCATCCGAATCAAGACATTAAGAACGGGTACAAGACAACAATTCCGACAATGATGCAGAAAGAAATGAGGTTTATAGAAGAAGCTTACAGATTAGCAGAAGGTCCTCTGTTGCAGCAAATTCTGGTACAAAGGCACGCAATAATTCCAATCACTGCGAAAATTAGCGTCGTTACCAAGAAACCCATATTGGTCGTACCAGATCCTGATCAGAGAAAATGGATTCCTGCGATGATGGTCGTGATTTCAGATTCGGCAAGGAAGAAAGCAAATGGTGTGAACAAAAAATTGAAAACGGACCCCTAATATAGGATGTTTGGTTGCCGAGAAAGTGTGGGAAAATGCAAGTGAAAACACAACGATAGGAGATTACCTCTGTGCTATGTAATTCGGCGTCGTATCAGAGATCTCCAGCTGCTATGGGTTTCAATTTGATGAGCTCGCATTCACTCAATACCAACTACACGGGCCCAAACACTCCCTCCTCCTTTCTTGGGCCTACTTATTTTATTTTTTATTATTATAAAGTATAATTATTTTTAATCTAATATTACTTTTATGGAAAATATTTTATAATTTTCGAGGAAAATACAATAAGAAAAGTGACTTGGCTTCTTGAAGTTAAATTATCTTAGCTTAGCTAGAGGCATTTGTAAGGATTTTGCAAACCTTCTTCAATATTTACCATGGGAAAAATACTTTCACAGTTAGGTCTCTTCTGAAGTCAGAGAGAAAGATCTAGAAAATTATTAAAAGAACAATGAGAATTTTTATTCAACAATCGATAACTGAGGTTACATTTCTGTTTTTATGCAAACACACCCTTGACTACTATTTCATGCCACATCTCCCTACAAATGTCATATTCCCCTATCATCTATTTGTTACAATATCTTCCTAACAGTAATAATCCCTAAGCTTTGAAGAAGAGATTCTTTCTCTACTAGTTCTTCTTACTGATGGTTCTCCTCCTCTAACATTCACCTTCTTTTGAATGAGATGGAGAACAAGATGAATCAATGGGTAGCTCAAGGAGATAATTCAACACAACTCTGATGTTAGGAAGCCGAAATATGCAAAGTTTCAAAATGATGGAAGGAGAATAGGAGAAAGAGCCCTATCATAAAGAAAAGTTTTAGATTCTACCTTGTGGTACACTTTCTTCATCCTCCCACAAGAAGACTTTTTTTCTTTGATATTGTGTGAGTATGGAAGTTTAAGAGGCTCATTTAGTAGAATATTCCTAAATTTGGAAGAATAACAATGAACATAAGTACAAAGAAGAGAATAGGATAGAGAATTTTTGGATTTTCTCAACAAAAAGTATCGTGGAAAATTGAAGTGTGAAAGAGTAAATGTGATTGGTTTGAATATTTTTGGCCCTAAGGCCAACCCCATCCTAACCTTTTAAATGAGAAGGCCTCGAGGGTTTAGGGCTGAATAACCCCATTGTATTGAGGGCCAAAATTTAATAGGGCTTTATATGGGACTTAATAGGCTGGCCCTAAGGCTAAAGCCTTTCTTAAAAGCTTTAGTCTCACGCACTTTTTTATGCATTGCATGAGACAAAATTATCTCATGTAACATAATAAACATATTCCTTTTATGTTGTGTTAGATAAAATGTCTACGCAACACAATGATGAATCGAAAAAATATTATTTATGTCTACACATTTAGCAGAGGGGGTTCAAAAGAATATAAACAACATTTCTTTAAAACATTTTTTTAAAGAAAATTTTAAATGCATTAAAAACAAAAGAATATAAACAAGAAAAGAAAAGAAAACTTCAACTTAACATAAAATGACTCATCATAAGCAATAATGCATAAAATTAATAATACAACAACAAAGTTGAAACCATATCCTAATAGGTTCGGCCAGAGCCTGACTCAACCAGGCATACAATAATTTTAATAAAAATTATATGGTTTGGTTCAGTAACTTGTGAAAGACAATGAAAGCTAAAGGCTTTAATGCAATTTCACCAGTTAGATTGTAGGAACAACAGTTCCAACTTATCAATATAAACAAAACCAACAACAGATCTATCAAATTTAAGTAATACAATTAAGAAAGAAACCTGAGATGAGGAAAGAATAAAGTGCCTATTGATAGCAATGCAAAGTCTTTCATCTTCCATAACACTCTCTGTTGTCATTAAAGCAGATTTTGGAACTCTGAGAATAGTTTTCCCCCCTCCTAAGGTCTCTCACCGCACCTATACCTCTACCGCAACATTCTCCAAATAATCCAGGGAAAAGGGTAATATTTGTTAACAAAAACAAGTCAAATGCATCATTATTTAGATTATTATCATTAGCTTCGATTAATTAACCCATAAAACACATGTAATGGGCAAGAGGGAAAAAATGTTCCCCCTGTTAATTTTATATCAACACGAAGAAATTCATTCAGTGATGAAATTGTTGGTGTAATAAAGAAGATAAATTTAATGCAAACTTTAATTGGGTATGATGAATATGCATGATGGTCAGGAAATATAGGAAAGACGAGTGAGTACCCGCCAGAGTAAGGAAAATGAGAGACACAAAGAGAAGAACCCAAAAAGGAGAAAGAGTGTTGATGTTGATTAGTGCTTGTTAAGTTTGATATTTCAAGTTGTGTTACCCAAGCAAAATGCCCCCCAATTATCCCCTCTGTAAATAAATGAATATGCAAGTTACCGTATTCACTTGCAGTTAGTGGCAATAGTGTAGGTCCGCCACTGATGAAACATACAAAAAAAGTGGGTAGAACCCACTTTTTCCCTTTTTCTCTCTTATACTTAATGGGTCGCACCCATTTTTTGTGTATTGCATGAGACAAATTTTCTCTTGCAATATGAGAAACATATTTCCTTTATGAGACAAAATGTCTCATGCAACACAAAAAAAATGAGTGGGGCCAATTTTTTTCCTTTCTCTCTCTTCTCCTTAATCGGTCTCACCCATCTTTTTGTGTTGCATGAGACAATGTCTACTGCAATACACAAAAAGTGGGTGAAACTCGTTTTTTTCTTTTTCTCTCTTCTCCTTAGTGAGTATCACTTACTTTTGTGTGTGTTACCTGTGTTAAATTGTCTCATGCATCATGAGAAACATAGTTCCCTATTACTTTTATGGGAAATATTTTATAATCTTCGGGGAACACAAAACACAAGAAGAAGAGTGACTTGGCTTCCTAGATATTTAAATTATCACAGCTTAATTGGAGGCACTTGTAAGGATTCTGCAAACCTTCATCAGTATTTACTGATATCGAATTTTTAATTTATGTAAAGTAACATTCCAGTCCGCTTCAACCTTGCCTTTCAAAGTGGCAGCCACAATAAGAATAACAACGAGCCGTCCTTCATATTCCTCTGAAAATTTCCCCCTAACTACTTTATTATATCAGATGAGACGTTACAAATGCTTGCTTCTTTTTGAAAAATAGTCCAAACTTCTTCATCGGTTAAGATTGATAATAGAATCTTTTGTTCATAATCTCTCAAACTACAAACTTTTACAAAGAGTGTGGTAATGAGAAACTTACAGCCTTAGTGATCTTTACCTGGGGGAATTCCCATGGCTCCAAAATCAAACTTCTTCTAAACATCATCCAAAATAAGAAGAATCTTTTTTCTTGAGCTAATCTCATGCGCAAGTGTTAGACTTTCTCCCCTTCTTCTTTTTTGGGAAATTTAAATGATAGCACACTTGCAAATTTATCTTGGATCCTTCCCATATATACAGTGCTAAACACAAGCACAAAAAGAAGTTTGTCAAAAAGATGCTATGACTCTGCTTTCTTCGCAACTTGCATCGCCAATGTGATTTTCCCATAACCCCTATCCCTTATAATCAGGTAACCTCATCATCTTTCATTGCCTCCATAAGTTGTTTATAAACAGATTGTCTACTGTCAAACTCCAAACATTACTCTAAAGGAAAATGTTGCATTGCCGAGGAAAGTGTAGTAAAACTTTCAAGTTGTATATACTTACTACCTTTTTTAATACATTTTTCAATGTCCACTTTTTTCTGTTCTAACGTCTTGCCATGGTGGTATCGCCAAAACCAATTAGAACAATGCCCAAAACACCACATCTTGTTTGTCCATGCTTCTATAAGTAACTCATCCCCATTGTTTGTCTCTATCTTAGCTTATTTCAACAACTCATCCAAAACTTCAGCATTCTTCATTGCTTGTTTTGTGGCATGTTTAGCACGATTTTTCACGTTATTTCTTGCGATGATCAAGTTGTCTTTCTCTTTTCTAAGGTTTTCAACAACATTGTTTAAGCAGCAAGGATACCTTAATTCATTTATTGCTCTCCACACCAAATCTTTTCCAAAGTCAAATGCAGGGAAGGTAAGAGTAAAAACACTTCAATTTCCTCCACCAATTGCAAGTTATTTCACCTAAACAGAACAACAATGTTCAATTATACAAAGGGAAAAGTCTTTATTTTTCAATCACTTACCTCCATATAATTTTTCATCCAAACTCAACCCTAACATCATTAAAAACTGAATTAATTTATCTATTTTACCCTTTTTAAAAAAAGAAAACAAATTGGTGATAAAAAGAAAAAAAGGAAAAAAAAAATAAGAACAAATATATTGAAAACTTACATCACTTATATAAAAGACTAAAAAAATGGATCAAATATATCTAAATCAAATAGAAGAAAATAACCGAGGACAAAAAATATAGAAGAAAAAAAGGTCCAAACAAGTTGAAAACTTATAATGATAACATAAAAAATTAAAAGTACAAAAAATAGAAAAAAATCTAAATCAAAAAATAAGAAAATAGACCGAAGACCAAAAACAAATAGAAAATTTTAAAATCAAATATATCTAAATCACGAAAGAAGAAAATAGATTAAACACAAAAAAAAAGAAAAAAATAGGAATTAAAAATATATATCGAAAACTTACAAAACTAATTTATTTTTCTTCTACTTCCTGTTTGTTGTATTCTCTTTGTCTTATTTTTTCTATCTTTTAATAACGATAGAAAAAAATAAAAGTGAAAAAAATAGAAGAATAAAATAACAAGTATATCTAAATCAAAAAGAAAGAAAAAATTAAGAACAAAAAAGCAAAAAAAAAAGAAATTAAATATGTTGAAAACTTTTAACAATATCATAAAAGACTAAAAGTAAAAATAAAAATAGTCTTAATAAAAAAATAAGACAAAAAAGAAATAGTAAGAAAAAGATATTTTCCGGAAATATGTTTCTTATATTGAATGAAAAAATTATCTTACACAACACATAAAAAGTGAGTGAGACCTATTTTTTCTTTCTCTTTCTTCTCCTTAGTCAGTCCCATCTAATTATTATTTTTGTGTTGCATAAGATGAATTATTTTATACTGCGAAACATATTCCCCTTTATAGAAAGTATGTTTCTTTGTTGCATGAAACAATTCTGCCTTATCCAATACACAAAGATTAGGTATACCCACTTTTATCTTTCTCTCTACTTCTTTATATGTTACATAAGATAAAGAGTAAAGTCTATTTTGGATCCCTAACAAAAAAATACGGTCCTCACTTTAGTTCCTTACAAAAAAATAGTCTCAGGTCCCTATGAAATTCAAAGTGGACCCATTTTAGTCCTTTTAAGGGACTAATGTGAATCTTTTTTGAATTTATGAGAGATCACGATTTCAACTAAATGGATCCACTTTGAATTTTTTAAAGACCTCGGGACTAATTTTTTTTAAGAAGGGACTAAAGTAGAAACCAAATTTTTTTTAGGGACTCAAAGATAACATTCAACATACCCTACTTTTATTTTATTATATGGTTCATCCAAAGTCAACTAGTTTGAGTTTGAGAAAACGGTAATGCTAAAATCAACTTCAATGATCAAATGATGGTAGCTCAGTTGACGCTTGGGAGCTGAGCAGGTGGGGAGAGAGCATGTGTTCGAATCTCCTTAGTCCCACAGTTGGGAGGGGTTTTGTTCTGTCCTTGAGACAGAGATGTCCAGCCCAATAGGATGGTGCGTTTATCTTGGATCTAGTGCCCTCTCCAAGGTATCTATGAATGAGATACCCTTGAGTCAAGCAGATCACTGTGCACAGAATACTATGACGGCGTTAGCCAATGAGGTGTGTGTGTGCGCTCAGTGACAACATAACAGTAAGAGAGAGCGTACCGTACCTTTAGAGTTTACCTTGTATTTATAGAGGTTACCTGTGAGTAGTGTGGATGGGCCTTTGGTGCCTCTGGTGAGGGACCATGCCTGCTTGCTATGCTGTCGTATTAGGATTAGTATCCTTGATGGATATCTATCCCTTGTTAATATCAATTTGTATCTTGGATTGCCCCTTGTTGGGCCTACCACTTAATGAGCCCATTATATGGGTCCATAACAGTTGCCCCTCAGTCCGGTTACCTGGGCGTTCGGGTAGTCGGGGTGAACTTATGTGTTCATTTCTTCAGGTTTTTGCCCTTGAATATATTTGCATTTTTGCAAACTTTGCATGCTCCGCTTATTCTGGAATTTTTTCCACGCGGGGTGTCCCTTGCCCCTTTAGTCGACGGGTTGAGCATCAACCCGGTGAGATATTTTGCGCATCCCACCTTCTGGGCCGGGTATAATCTCGAGTTGTCGGGTTAATGGTCGTGTTGTCCCTTAACTCCAGCCTTTATGTTTATTTTGAGTTCTTGGCTTATTCCATATTCATCACCATTTTCCTTCGTTGCATCCCTTTGCAGGTTGAGCATCTTCCATGTTTCCACTCCGGGTTAGGAATAAGCTTAAGTTGTTTGAATCGCATTGGCGGGTTGCCCTCGAGCGCTATACCTTGACTCGGAGTGTGACTTTATTCCTATTTCATTGGTCGACGGGTTGTGCATGAACCCGTCGAGGCGTTCATGGAGTAACCGGGTAGAAGATGCGCTTTAGTAGTCGTGAGTCGACTATTGAGTTGCCTCAAGCGTCAACGTTTAACCCGGTTAACAGCTGCATGCATATATATCTTGTCTTGTCTATTGGTTTTTGAATTGTACTCATTTCAATTTGCCACGTGGTACAACCCGCATGCTTTAGCGTGCTGCAGTCGTTCTATGCCGTCGTTGCGTTTCGTGCGCATTTATTGCAGCATCGTTTCAGTTGTCTAATCATTGCTTTTTGGTGTGAATTGACATCAATGCCCTTGCCCCTTGGCTTTCTCCGTGCTGTGGTTTCCACGTATGATAATTGCGGTTTCCACCCACGATTGTGGCAGTTATGAATTGGGGAGCGGAAAGACCTAAATAGCCTTGACCTTTTCTATTCACGACCCAGTGGGTAGTTGTCATGGCTATATAAGCTTCTGCTGCCCTTTACGTGCTTTCGTTTCGCTTCTGAGCATTGCGCACCAGGCTCATTCTGCTTGCTTTCGTCTGTTTTCCTTCTGAGTATTGTGCATCATCCTCATTTCGTCTGCTCTTTAGCATTTCAGCCTCAGTTTTTTACCTTCTTTTCAGCAGGTACTTTACACATCTTCACTGTTTTGTTGCTTCTGTTTTACGGTTCTGCATTTGAACATTTGTTTTCAGTATTCATTTGTAAATTTGAAGTTGCATATTTTTCTTCTTCGGTTTTCTGATATTTTTCTAGAATCCGCAAAAAACTTCCATAACTTGCGTTTCTCAGAACATTGTGTTCTTTTGTCGTTTTGGTGGTTATCAGCATGTCCTCCTCTTTATCCTCCCTTCTACTATTTGACATTTTAGCCTTTTTCAGTTTCTTGACCAAATGAGGGGGGAAAAACCCTTCTTCTGCAGCTCTGTGTCTTAAAGGGAAGAGGGAGGAGGATCTTGATTTTTTGAATAAGATTCCCCCTGGTGCTCGTTTCTGGCTTTGGGGGATTCTTAGGATTGAAGAGGAAGAGCAGGAAGCTATGCTCCGAGGTTGCCGTGGTGGTAACTCTCGGAGAGTGTCCGATAAATCGAGTCGAGGATTGGGGCGTCGAGGTAGAGGCTCGTCTTGCCGGGTTAGGGATCATCATATCAAAAATAAGCGTGTGTCACACTCATTTCCCCAACCCAGAGCTAAGCCTTCTAGCCGACCTATCATTCATCCGAGATCTTTGTCTCACACCCAGACTTCGCTGCCTCCTTCTTCCCCAAGGAGTGTCCCATGTTAATCTTGCGTTTATATGAGTTCAAAGCTTGTTAGGCAAGGCTGCGACTCTTTGGCCGAGTCGACGCTGGCTACGTGCCGACATGGAGATAAGCCCGTCTCCGCATTAGTAGGAGCAAATGATCCTATTGCAGTATCAGATTTATCATCATCTAGTGATTCTTCTGATAGCCTTTGTGACTCAGGTATTCTGACTCTTTCCTGATTCCTGCCTTTCCTTGTTTTTAGGTTTTATGGCATCCCCTCCTCCAGAGGTAGTAGAAGAGTCGAGTTCCACCGAGTCGTGTCCCCCACATCCCTCTCCCTCTTTAATAGCCCAGTTTCCCTGGGTTACTCATGAAGTTTTAAATACTATTTCGAAGATGGGTTCGGACGACGTTGCGGCCCTTTCAGTGGGGGAGTTAGAGAATTTTGACATAGCCCCTCCTAAAAAAGATGAACCCGTCTGCTCTAGTGGGAGGTCAGGAGAGCCCCATTTCTTTTTCTTTTTCTGAGATGTCGTGACGCAACTCGGCGTCCGCTTCCCCTTGACGGATTTTCAGATTGATGTTCTGAATTACCTTCAAATAGCTCTCACCCAGCTTCACCCCAATGGTTGGGGTTTTATCAAAGCCTTTGAGCGTTTCTGCTTATATCTTGCTATTCCTGCTTCTGTATGTGTATTCTTTTTCTTTTTTCAAGTGCTTACCCCTCGGACTGGTCGGGAACCGGCCGACCGAAAAAGGTGGGTTACCATTCGAGGTATCCCCAAGCGTAAACTTTTTCAGGTATATACTGATTCTTTTAAAAAATTTAAAGACAAGTTCTTTAAAGTTTCTGCCCATCCCGACAAGAGTGTTTGGTTTGTTGACACCTCTCGTGTCGAGGATGGTGAGGGAAAATTCCCTTTGCACTAGTCTTCTAACCATTATCAACTTCCCCCATCTAGTTACCGTTTCCAAGTTACCGAATTGGGTTCGTCTGATATTGACAGTGCCATTGCTATTGGCACGTACCTTCTGTCGCATAAGCATGCTAGTGTCGCATCTCTTCTGTTCAAGTCCCAGGAGGAACTTTATGCTGAATTAATTATGGATTATTTCCTGCAACCCTATGCCTGCGTATTGGTGGTGTTGCCTTTCATATATTTCTCTTTTGCAGTACCCGACATGGATAACCAACAAATGATCCTCCTAATTGGTTGGTCGCGCTGAACCAAACCAAGACGGGTTCCACCGGGTTGACGAAGAAGAGGAAGGCGGCTGAGTTGTCCCAAGGCAATCTTGGTAAGACCAAGGATTCGTCAACGGGTACTCCAGTCGCAGCCAGTGCCAAAGAAAAGTCGAATGCTGCTGATATTCGTGCTTCACCTGGCGCCCGTCAAACCCTGAAAGCCCCTCCTCCTCCAACACCTGAACTTTTTAAGCATATGGTATGGAGGGGAAAAACAAATAGTACTCTCCGGGATGCAGTGTGCGCCCCCCGAGTCCTTCTACAACTCATCCGCTCTTACCACGGCCCAAGTTAGGGAAGTGGAGGAATTGGAGCATTGTTGTTTGAAGATGGCCGAGTTGGCCAGACCCTTGCTCATTCTTAAGCAAAAGTATCTGCGTTCATTAAGTGATGCATCCACATCCCGGGAGGAGAAGGCTAAGACATATGCTTTTGTTGTTTTTGGACCCTTGGGTTTTGATCACGTATTGACGCAATCATCCATCTCTCACAAATTTCTCCACCGCATCTCGGAGATCCCAGCATTGATCAGTTGTGTGGCCCGACCCATCATGGAAGGCACAATATTTGGAGTTGTCCAAACCTCCTCTGTCAAATATAGGCCGGGGTCGGTCCACCTTCTTCATTTCTGTCATTGCTACTTCCCTCCAGATTTGAGAGCGCGACGCATTCAACGGCGTATACTTGTCATATCTTCCAACCCGATCCCTCATGTCCGGGACTCTAGCGCGTGGGTCTTTTTTCTTATTGTCCACCCGTTCTTTCCCCTTTGGGGCCAGGCTCCTCCTTCTCGGGCTAACTCTTTTGCCCTCTTCAGATTGCGCATTTGCAATCTCCATTTGCTCCAGTTCGAGATATTTCTTCGAACGAGTTCTGAATTCCTCCAACGTCCTCATCGGGTCCTTGTAGACCGACTTGGCTAGCCTAGAAGCACCATCTAAACCAGCCACAATGAGGTGTACGTGGACATTCTCTTGCAACCTGGGGACCTGCAATGCAATGTCTTTGAACCGATTAAGATATTTCTGGAGGGTTTCTCCGGGTTGTTGTCGTATCTTTTCGAGAGCGAACTCGGATTTGGGATGCTTTTTGCTGGTTGCAAAGTTTAAGAGGAATTTTTGTCCGAATTCCTCGAATGAGCCTATGAAATTAGCAGGAAGAGTTGAAAACCACGCCTGTGCTGCCACAGTTAGGGTTATGGCGAATATCCGGGATATGAGGGGTTCGTCAATTCCTCGGATATACATGTCCGTGTCGAAAGCGTCTATATGGACTTGTGGATCTTGACTCCCATCGTACTTTGGCAGACATGCCGAGTCGAAGTCCTCCGGGAAGGGAGCGTTCTGTATTTCACCAGTAAAAGGGTTGTTGTTGCACTGCCCCCTACTGTACTTCCTTTTGTATCAGCCGGGTTCCATCCATCCTCGGATGATCCGAGCATTCTGGTCATGATGAGTCCTATTCCGGTCCTCCTGGCCATTGGCCTGTGCCAGATGGTTTTGAGCATTTTGGCCCTCGGCAGCCCGGTTCCCTGGGTTTGGGTTTGCTGCATTCGTTGGGTTGGGCCTTTCTTGATTTTCCACTTCAAGAACCCTGTTTGGCAGGATTAGGTTTCGAGTTCCTTCTCGGCCATTGGTAGGCTGGCCTTCAGTTTCTGTTGCTCCCGGTCCAGTCAGCTGTGTTAAGCGCTGTTCCAGGTCTCGCATTCCCCTATTACTTTCCTCCCATATCGCCCGAAAGTCCTGCTGCCGTTACAGGTTATTACGAGTTTCCAATTCTGCAATCCGCTCCATAATCGCAGCAAATGCATTGTTAGCCAACCGAGTATCTGGATCGGCTGATTGGGCAATATGCGCAGCAAGATCTCCTGGGTGCTGGGAAGAGTTGTTCCTTATTGGAGCCATAATCGCATCAGCCCCCCTGTCTCGACGCGCTGGAGTAGACGCGGTGTCTGAGACGTCATCCTCAACCTGGACATGGTCATAGTCCACGTTGTTTCCGATCTGGTTCTGAGGCTGATTTACCTCTTCCAAGACCGGATCCAACGGTTGATTCTGGTTCTGGGGTCACTGCTGGCTATTACTCCTTGTATGGATTGCCATCCTTTGTCAGGTTAGTGGGGACTTCCAATTCAATGAAGATGAATTCCCCACAGACAGCGCCAATGTTCTGTCCTTGAGACAGAGATGTCCAGCCCAATAGGCTGGTGCGTTTATCTTGGATCTAGTACCCCTCTCCAAGGTATCTATGAATGAGATACCCTTGAGTCAAGCAGATCACTGTGCACAGAATACTACGACGGCGTTAGCCAATGGGGTGTGTGCGTGCGCACAATGACAACATAACAGTAAGAGAGAGGGCGTACCGTACCTTTAGGGTTTACCTTGTATTTATAAAGGCTACCTGTGGGTAGTGTGGATGGGCCTTTGGTGCCTCTGGTGAGTGCTCAAGCCTGCTTGTTATGTTGTCGTATTAGGATTAGTATCCTTGATGGATATCTATCCCTTGTTAATATCAATCCGTATCTTGGATTGCCCCTTGTTGGGCTACAACTTATTGAGCCCATTATATGGGTCCATAACAAGTTTAAAGCCTTAATCCTGGACCCGTCCCGAATTGGATTAGTTGCGAAGTGATGAACCGATTGAAATATTTTCTAAAATCAACTTCAATGAATAATTTTTATTTATTTTTTAACTAAGTGAATGACTCACTAAAGACACAATTGTAAGTAAGACACGAGCTATTGTAAATACACCTTGAACATCCATACATCTATAAAACCATATTATAAGATTTTTTTTTGTTATAAACATATATTGAACTTAAGCACAGATTGTGTGACCTATGATAGAACGACCAAGTTAAATACATATTTATGCAAATATATCTCAACACCTTGGATTAGATAGTGTAAACTGTGATTCTGTGAGTGAGATTCTAACCAAACTTTTTCCATACATCACTTAGAGCCTCTTTGTTTGGTCTTCTCAAGAAAGTAACTTTTATCTCTTTCTTATTTTAAAAGTATTTTTTACAAAAGTTAAAGCTATTTATATTTTTATAAAAATATTTAGTTTTTTAAAAAAATATTCGACTTATGACTTCTGCTTTTTTTAAAAGTTAAAATTTTTAACTTTTGAAAAAAATAAGTTTTTAACTTTTTTTTTGTGACTTCTGCTTTTTTTAAAAGCAGACATCTAAATGAACTAAAAATGATAAGTGTTTTTTTTCAAGAAAAAATAGTTTTTAAAGGGGGGAAAAGCCTATCCAAACGGGCCGTATTTGAATATTTTATTCGTAAATTCAACATGTAGTTAATTAAAAAGAAAAAAGAAAAAAGAAAAAATGAGAGCGTGATAGGAATTCGAAGAAAAAATGTGGGGTCCGTTTGTTCTTAAAAACAGTTTTTTAATTATCCGAAAGAAAAAAAAAACCTCATAATGCTTATTTTATAAAAAGTTTTAAAAATTATATAATCAAATTTAAAAATGGGATAAGTTATTCTACTTATTATTTTTTCCGCCTACAAATCTAAAAGATCATTAGATCAGAATTTTAATTTACATTTTCTTTCTTTCTCCTCTTTAAATTATTGGAGAATGACATATAAAGATAGACAGAAAAAATAGGAGATAGAATAACTTATCCCTTAAAAATATATCTATGTTATTTTTTTGGGGAATGTTATTGTAACAACCAAGTTGTGTTACTACCAATCAATCTCACCGTTAGATCGATTATGTTGATTCAACGGTTATATTTATTTTCATCTTTGTATGGTCATGATTTCTCAAATTTAATACTTTATATTTATTTTCACCTCTGTATGGTTATGATTTTCCATATTTAATGGTTTCACTTTAAATATGGGGAATCATAACGATACAAAGATAAAAATAAATATAACTGTTGGATTAACATAATCGATCTAGAGGTGAGATTGTTTGGTAGTAACATGGTAGTAACACAACTTCGTCGTTACAATATCCTTCCCCTGTTTTTTTAATATTAAAACAAACTCATTATTTATCCGACGAAATAATTTTAATAAAAAAACAAAACATAACACAGTCGACGTCGCTGGTTTCTTTCCACAACAATGAACGGTTACTTTCCTTTGTCTGGTTCCAAATTTCCAATGCAACCAAGTAAAATCCACTGAAAATTGTAGGGAAGCTTTTCATTCTGCACTAAAACCCTAATAAAAAAATAAAAAAAAACCCCCACTGGCAACACTACTAGCGAAGGGAAAAATGGCCATGCGTCCCCTCACAAACCCAAATGAGTTTATCTCATCCTCTCCTATCTACCACAATGCATTATTGTCTCCCTCACCTTCTGTTTCTCTCAACCTGAGAAAAACAATAAATGCTCCGCAACGCCTCAGTCCTCGTTTGCGGTCGGTGAGATGCTCCTTCTCGTATGAAGATAACGCGAAGATTAAGGTTGTCGGCATCGGTGGTGGTGGCAACAATGCCGTTAATCGCATGATCGGTAGTGGTTTACAGGTGGGTGGCTTCACTTTCCATTCTTTTCTCGATAAAGTTTTGTTTTTTTACCTTGTCCTTCAGATTATAGGTCAACTGGGTATCATGTTTCATACCCGATTTGGAATATCGTTAATGGGTTATTTTCATTTCTTATTTTTTTTTAAAAATAAAATTCTATTGAGTTGTTAAAACTTTTTGTAGTGGCACTGTTCAGTGAGCAACCCTTTGTGTTTTGCTGCAACCAAGTGTATACTAATGTTAAATTCTGCTACATTCTCAATCAGGGTGTAGACTTCTATGCAATAAATACTGATGCTCAAGCACTGTTGCATTCTGCTGCTGAGACACCTATTAAAATTGGAGAACTTCTGACTCGTGGATTAGGTCGGGCACTCTTCCTCGCTTGTGTTTTGACTATGACATGATTTGTTTGTGTTGCTTCACTCCAGTTTCCTTGCTAATTTTGTTGTGAAATTGAGGGGTGACCTTTGATTCAAATTACTTGATAGAGATGCAGGTACTGGTGGGAATCCACTTTTGGGGGAACAAGCTGCGGAGGAATCAAAAGAAGCTATTGCTGATGCTCTTAAAGGATCAGATTTGGTGTTTATAACAGCTGGGATGGGTGGGGGCACAGGTTCTGGTGCTGCTCCGGTTGTGGCCCAAATATCAAAAGAGGCAGGTTACTTGACTGTGGGTGTGGTTACCTATCCCTTCAGCTTTGAAGGACGTAAAAGATCCTTGCAGGTAGGTGTCTATTGGTTCCTTATTTGAGAATATGATTATTGAATTTCTTCTACTCTTACTTAATAAGTAATACTGCTCTCTTTAATTTGTTGCAAAACAAATTGGATTTTTCTTTTCTTTTTTTCTCTTTTCAATTAATACACATTTACAGTTTATTTTATCCTGATTATATGGTTACTTATCTGAAGTTTATTTTATCTAGCAGACAAGAGCCTACGGTTTATCTGAAATTTTAAAAATAACTCTCCAGTTTTCTTTTGAATTTTCTTCAGGCATTTGAAGCCATTGAAAAGCTGCAGAAAAATGTTGATACGCTTATAGTGATTCCGAATGACCGTCTGCTTGACATAGCAGATGAGCAGATGCCTCTTCAGGATGCTTTCCGTCTTGCCGATGATGTTTTACGCCAAGGAGTACAGGGAATTTCAGACATTATAACAGTGAGTTGTTTGGCAAACTATGTATTCATACTTTTTGTCTGGTCACTATAGCACACTTAAAGTTCCTAATGGATCCCACTAGATCGGTAATTAGCAAAGTGAAAAGGTAAACAAATAAGGCTTGAACCATTCTCAACCTCTTTTTCCTCACTACTTTTGAGTGGTCACCCCTTGTTGAGATATATAGTCCCACATTGATTGGATGGGCAACTAATATAGCCTTAATAAGGCTTTGGGCACTCCCACCCCTTAAGCTAGCTTTTGGGGTGGTGATCTCAAGGTTCTTAACATGGTATCAGAGCCTCACTGTCCCCCGCTTTAAAAAGTAGAATTAAAATAAGAATAAAAAGCACAAAAAGGTAAACCAAAAATGGGCCTGTGCAGTTTCCACGCTTCTTGCCTAAAGGGCTCTTGCGTGAGGGGGCGTGTTGAGATATATAGTCCCACATTGATTGGATGGGCAACTAATATAGCCTTAATAAGGCCTTGGGCACTCCCACCCCTTAAGCTAGCTTTTGGGGTGGTGATCTCAAGGTTCTTAACACCCCTCCTCCATAATTGGGCTTGTATTTATGTCAACAGTCTGTTCATGCAATATTTTTTCTAGATCATATGAACTGTTGTGCCTTCTTGCAGATACCTGGACTTGTTAATGTGGATTTTGCGGATGTAAAAGCTGTGATGAAGGACTCTGGTACTGCAATGCTTGGAGTAGGTGTTTCCTCTGGTAAAAATAGAGCAGAAGAAGCAGCAGAACAGGCTACTTTGGCTCCTTTGATTGGATCATCTATTCAGTCAGCTACTGGGGTAGTGTATAATATTACTGGAGGAAAGGACATAACCCTGCAGGAAGTGAATAGGGTGTCTCAGGTATTTTAGGATTTTATCAGCATCTTGCTTAAGGAACATTTTGTTATTCCTTTTACACTTTAATGTCATGAATTTGTTGCGAACATGATATTTTTAGTTTGTAAACTACACCTAGAATGTCGCTGGATTTAGTGTTTATGACTTCAAGTAGAGTGCTGTAAAATTTGAATATGTTGCTATTTTGCATTCATTTTAGTGTTATATGTTGAAAAATCATTAAGTATTTGATACGATACTACCTTTAAGGGCATTCAGGGAAAGCAATTTGGATGAGTCAGCGAATGAGTTGTTAGGTGGGACTAAAAGAAAACGGCTAGGAAGAAATGGAGGGAAAAGCTAAATAAGTAGTGGAGGGCTGGGAGCATGAGAATCATCTTGGATATTGCTTGGACTTGAGACTTGGGAGAGAGTAGAGCCTCTCTAATTGCTCTACACTATCATTTTCTTTTTCAGTTTCAGTTGTAATTTTTTGCCATTACTGTTCTTTCTGTATTGTTGATCTACTTCAATTTCTTTTACTGCTGAGACTAATACCAATAATGCAAGCTTCTGTTTTCATCTAAATACAGACTTTAGTTCTGTTTTCTGTTATTATTGGCTGAGTTCTTATCAGTATTCCTCTAGATTAGATCCAGTCAAGAAGTTTAGCAAACCACCCAACCCCTCCCTGGAAGATAAGAAAAGGATATATGTATACTCTCCCCTCAAGGGTTTGCTTTTCTTTTCTGTTTGTGCTTCATATTAATGATTGGTGGTAAAACTACCTCCATTTATCACTAATTTTGCTTCTACATTTTCTTCCCTTTTTCTTCGTATGTGTCCTGTTCTTAACATGTGTAACTTCTGTAGGTGGTGACTAGTTTGGCTGATCCTTCTGCTAACATAATATTTGGGGCTGTTGTTGATGATCGCTATACTGGGGAGATTCATGTGACTATCATTGCAACGGGCTTCTCGCAGTCATTTCAGAAAAAGTTGCTAACAGATCCAAGGGCTGCAAAGCTGCTTGACAAAGTGACTGAGGGCCAAGCAAGCAAGGCAATGCCCCCTCCCCTCAAGTCCTCTGACTTACCTTCCACAGTTGAATCTAGAGCATCCCCTCGAAAGCTCTTTTTTTAGTTGCTTAGTTCTTTTACCTTTTTTCATTTTTCTAATTATTACTATATTGTAGTCATTCAGCTATGTGATGATTTTGAAGCTTATTTTATTTATTGAGATAGTATTCTCTTGGATGTTATTTCCTCCCGAATATGCTCGGTTATTTTCAAGCTCCCTTTTTTCAAGAAGTTGGGTATTGTCATGACTCATTACTCATTTGGTTTAGTGTAACCAATTGCTTTAAGTGTATGTATCTAAAATACAATTTTGGTTAATGAAACGGATATATGTGTAACCTTAATACCTTATATACAAAGTTAACAAGTACAGGTGTATTTATTCTTTTAGCCAGTCAAGATCATGAGGCATTATAGATTAAATTAAAAATGGATATATAGTACATGATATGGCATGTTGATCTAGCATCATGGGGTTCTTACATCTAGAGCTAATGTGTAAATATCGTCATCTGGATCTAAGACAGTTTTGATGTAATGCATATAACTAATCTACATGTCCTGAAAGGATAAAGTGAATTTATTCAAAGGAATTTAGAAATATCTATTCTTATAGGGAATTGCACTTTAAGCTAGGATAGGCTGTAGCCACGTTTTATAATTCTTTTCAATTCCTAAGATGGTGAGACGTTTACCGTTCTTATTTCACAAAGGCACATCTTTCTTTCTTTTTTTAATAAATTACATGTATCCTTCACAACAAACAATCTTGTTTAAATCGAAAACATCTATATCATGCCAATTCCAAAAAGACGGCATTTTATCAGGTTTCAGAATCAAAACAAAGGAGCGTGGAATTTCCGATTCTGGAAAATAAGGTGAGGAAGACACGTGACTTAGTGTAGTTGGGGCATCTGCAAATTATGTAACATGTCATAAACATTTCTTCCCTCCCAACCCGTGCAATTACCTACAGGTGATTGAGGCATTAAAGAAAGTCATGCACATAATACTTGTGCATAATCTAATTAAAATTGAGCAATGCGTAAAAACACATCCAGACTGACACTCCAGCCAGGAACTTCAACTTTTGTATTTTTACATGAGAAAAACACACGATAGGTAGACTCTTAAATGTGCCAATTACAATACAAAGCCCAAATTACATGTAATTGGAATTTATATAGAGAAATCAGGAAACCCGGTTATGATGTTTCAGAGGACAGCACACATACAAGAAACACAGACAAAGAAGCTTGATGGGTACGGTACTTTTATTATTACAAATATTTGACCAACAGCCAAATGACAACCACCAAAACCACTATACCAATCACTGATAAAAGCAAGCAAAAGCAGGAGCAACCACCCTTGGTTCGTTTATTTAAAACTGCCAAGTTCTTCTGCACCCGCTGTTTTTCACAACAGAAACATATAAGAGAAGTTGTAAGTAAATTTCAACAATATTAACATAATTAACTTTGATATGACAAAACAAGAGATTTGGTCCCAATAAAAGTTACTATAAGGGCGTTACCCTAAGCCGAGAATCAGTGACATCTACATGTTGGTCCAAGTCATCCTGGCAGACGAAAAGAAAAGACTCAATTTTAGAAGCGAGACACAAAGGAAATGACCCATAAAAAACAAGAACAAAGAAAATTAATGCAGGAAGAGAACATACAATGAGTCTAGTGTGTAGATCCAGCTCTTCGTTCACTGCTAACGCAATATGTTTCGTGCTTGTTACTGTCTTCTCCAATTTCTCAAGCCCATCATCTTGTTCTGCTTGAATAGCAATGCACTATAAGATCCAAAGAACAGACTAGAAGTACCAATATATTTTCACAAAATTCAATCAAATGACCTTTTATAATTTGACGTTGAAGTCCAACAAGTCCACTGTTGTCCAGACCAACAGTTCTGCTCATTGCATCTGGTTTTGTTTCTGGCCCAAGCAAACTATCCCTATTTGCAAAGTTTGACATATTCAACGTGGAAGCCATTTGGTTAACTTTTGATCTCAAGTTTGCAAGCATGTCCTTGCGACGATTCATCTCCTTCTCAGATCTGCATCATTGAAATGAAATACACTTCATAAAACAATAGTGCCACTTCATCATGCACCTTCACAGCTGAATTGAAGACATTGTCTCTTCTATTGATAACATCTATCTCCTTATTCCAGTACCACAGATATTAGTATTACTCTGCTAAGTGCTAAAGACATCCCAAGAGAGAGATAGTTAACATCAGGAGAATTCTTCAAAACATATATGGAAAAATGTTTCTCTTGCACATGAGATAAAGTTATTTCTAGCAACACTAAAACGACATCACTTTGGTGTTAGGAAAAAAAATGTTGGCAATTTTAGTCATTTTACTTTTCTTTTGTATCATGTAATTTTATTAAAATGCCCTGCATTTTTTACCAAACCCCAAAAACGACATCATTTTGCAAGAAATAAATTTATCTCATATGACAGGAGAAATGTTAATCCCAACTCACACACACACATATATATGTGTATATATAATTTTTTTTTTTATAAATAAATAAAAAGAGAAAGCATTACAAAACAACAGTGCATAGTGTTCCAAGTCCTAGTTGCTCTGTTGTAACAGCATAACCTTTTTTAATCAGCATAATCAACAACTACACACTCACATAGGCTGCTTTCCAGGAAGCTTTGACAAAAGGGATTGCAAGCCATCAAGCCTGGTCCCCAATATTGTAATCTTCCTTCTTATAGCAGAAGCATGGCGCTGAGTTTCTGGTCCAGATGCGGGAAATGAACTCAGCTCAGAAACCATGCCACTGATATCATCAGCAAGTTTAACTGCTTCATTATATTCCTTCACCCATGAGTCCGAAGAGGAAGCCATTGGCCTGAAAGAAAGAAAATTCAATAAAGAATCAAATAAATATCCAGAAGAAATGATCAATAGAACTTCTACTTGTTAGATTTTTCATTGCAAGACATAAAAAATAACACAATAAATATAACCAATGAACTAGAAAGGCCCAGAAATCTTCAAAACATCATGGGACATGATAGAGAACTTTTTCAGTCCATTTGATTAACACAAGATAAATTCTACTTGCTCAGTAAAACCCAGGAAAAGGATCACAATCTACTAGCAACCCTGTTTAAACCATAATACTTATTACTTGTCTTATCTCAACAAAATTTTCCTCCATTAAACAAGAATTGCTGTTTACAGCGAGGAAAAAAAGAGAGGAATGGCTAATAATTACTATAACAATTAAAGTAAGAAAGAACAGCATGAAGAACCCTTAAAACTCATGATCGCAGAGAGCAAATCATGGAGCCATCCTACTATTCCACAAAATTCCCATCTGTCTAAAATCGACCACCTTTAACACGAAGTGCCCCATGCAATGGACCCCGAAACGGAAATAATTTCAGAATCAGGCATCAAACACAAAATTCTCAGAAAAAAGATCATAACAAGAGCAAATTTCAAAATCAGGCACAAAAAACAAAATTCTCAGCAAATAATCATAAAATGGGACAAGCGTATTACAATCCACAAGGAAAATTGTGTTGATAACGGAAAATAATTGGAAAGAGATTAAGAGAGGGGAAAGATCGGAGAGCGGAGAGTAAATTACCTTTCTTTGGGAAGCTAACGACTGTGGCTTTGAAGATGAGGAAGGAGGTGATGGATGCGACGTCGTTTTAGGAAGATGGTGATGGTGATGGATGGAAAGTAGCGTACGGCAGGAGCACCACCAACCGGCACCGTCGTCGTTTTTTACCTCGTGGGATTATGGAAGCTGAAAGCAAAGGCTTCGAATAATTCATTCACTGCGGCGTCGTTTGCGGTGTCCTTTTACCAAGTATTGCATCTCTCATTCTTCACTGAGTTGGAACAAATCCAATAGCGTCCACTTCATAAAGTTCGATTAATTATATATAATTGCGTGTTGGAACACATCCAATAGCGTCCAATTTGTACACAACCTAATTATTTATTGGGAAATATTTTCTCACGTTGCAACACATAAAAAAATAGGTAATATTTATTTTTTTCTTTTTTTTTCTTAGTGAATTTTACTTACTTTTTATGTGTTGTATGAGATAATTTATCTCATGCAACATGAGAAAAATATTTCCCTTATTTATTATGATAAGATGTTGTGTCTATATGATATATTCAGAATCTTCTATGATAATCATCCGCGTCTGAAACGTATTTTAATGCCAGAAAGTTGGATAGGATGGTTGTTGCGTAAAGATTATATTACCCCTAATTTTTATGAAATACAAGATGCTCATTAAATGTAAATGAAAAAAATAAAAAAAAACGAGTCGAATTACATTTATAATTTATCTGAGATGAATTTAGACTGTTCAAACCCCGAAACTCTTCCATAGATTTTTTTTTTCATTTATGTCTACTCTAATTATGCATATCTAATTAGTGTATGCAAAAAGAATTCAAGTTAATAGAAGTTATGGGAAGGAGAAGAGGAATAAGGAAGTTATGCTTTTAAACAAATGCTGTAATTAAATGAGTTAGACGATTGGATATATTACATATTACTAACATTTTAATGGACAATAAGTCATATTTTTAAAAAATTGATATGGGGTTATAATTTTATTATAGATTAAAATTTTGAAATATGACAATAAATCATATTATGTGAACTAATAAAAATAAAGTTACTACAAGTTTGTACTGGTTCTAGAATGTTTAATTATATGGACAAAATTTCATGAAATACAATAATTTCATTTTATTTTAATTGGTAAGATCCTTATTACTCAATTGTTTACTCATTAATAAGAAATTTCAAATGTATTATATGATGAATTTTAAGTGAGTTATAATAGTCTTTACTATTTTAATTTTTTAACTCCAAAACAAGATCGTTTCAATGAACATGAAACAAAATTTTCTAAAATAACATTAGATACTTTTTTCCGTATATTTTAAAAAAACATATTTTTACTTTTGTTGCAAAAATAATTTGTCCATCACACACTCACACTACATAAGAATGAGTGGACTCCATCAAAATTTTCTCTCTCCTCTCTTGACAATAGGACCCACTCACTTTTATATGAGTGTGATAGACCAGTGTTATTAAAACCGGCCCGGCCCGGCCGGTCGGACCGGTTGGCCCGGAAACCGGCCCATCAACCGGTCCGGTTTCAATATTGGACCGTTTAAGCATTTGACCTGGTATCAACCCGGTCATAAACCGCGGTTGAACCGGTGTAAACCGGTACCGGTTTTACCTTTAAACCGGTTTTTTAAAATAAGTTACAAAATATTCCAATTTTTGCGCCAGGTGGGAATCGAACCCGACCCTTTGATGTGAGGAGCGCACCTTCAAACCACTACACTATCATTACCTGTTGAATATAATACACCATTTAATATACTTATTATATAACTATTAAGTTAATAGAATTATTTCAAAAATTGCATCTAAGAGGAATCGAACCCCTTACATTGAGGATAGGCAATATAGTAATTACCACTAGACTACATCAGGTTATTGTTTCAATTGCACCATTTAAAATATTTATTATATAATTAAGTATAAAATATAAATTTATATATATATACCCGGTTCATGCGGTTCAACCAGTGACCCACCGGTTGAACCATTGACCCAGTGACCCGGTACCTCGACCGGGTCAATGACCGGTCCGGTTCTAATAACATTGTGATAGACACAATATAATCTACCATGTTATCTTTTTTTCTTTTTTTTGGTAAACAATGTTATTTTTTTAATTTTTCACCTTTGACACTTTTGTCTTTAATAAAATAATATTTTGTTAGACTAGTAGAAATTTTATTTTGTGCATGCTTTGTGTGTTGAGTTTCCATATTTATTTTAACTAGACTAACTTAATATGGGTTTTATAATTCTCATTTAACATGAGAATTCAAATTTTCCTACACACCCTTCGATTTCCGTACTGACATGGGTCCTACATATAAATTTTTCTAACACATGGGTCCCACATACTTTTTATCTCTACAACATGAGAATTGAATTCTCATTTAACATGAGAAAATCAAACCCCACTTAATATATATCACAAAATTTGGACGACAATATTAATACAAAGCGAATCTTTTGAAAGATTAAATTAGTGGTTTAGTCAAGAAGAAAAAAGTATAAGTTATATTTTTGTTACATATTATACTTTTCTTATATTATGGTAATTACATTATTATATTAAGTATTATAAAACATTAATATATGCTCTAAAGTTATGCTAATACTAAATAAAGAGAAATATCAAACTAAATAAAAATATCGATTTCTTGATTGGATGCGCCGGCTTTGTTTAGGTTTGAAAAAAAAAAAAACATGAAAATTGTGAGACTTGATGAGATTAGTGAAATATTCATGTATGTGAGTCATTGCTTGTAAATTTATTATTATTTTATCACCCATGTGTTGTTATATACGTTTTACTTTCCCTTGTGAACTTTGTAACAAATTTTACATTACTATTAAGTGTTTGTTATATAATATTGATTTACAGAACTGTTTTTGTTAGTTAAAAATAGAACTCATAGTAGAAAAACCTTAAAACAATATTTATATATGAAAGGAAAAGTGTGATAATTATGTTTCATGTAGCTCCGTAACGATATTGTTTGGGAAAAAATACACAGTGTTTTGAAAATTTTGCGTATTTTTTGCGACATGATTTTTTTTCTTTCAAAATCATATCATTTTGGTTTTAGAAAATAACTTATATCCTATAACATTAGAAACACTATTTGAAAATGTAATATGTTAACAATTTAATTAAGAAAGAATGTTTCGAAATGATGAGGTTAAAAAAATACAAGATGTTTTAGATTTTATTCTTCTATTGCAACATATTTTTTTTCTTCAAAATACTCAATATTTTCCCCCCGAAACTATAATATTTTTTAGGTTTCAGAAGATAAAATTTTGAAAGAAGAGACACTAAATTCATTCAATTAATTAAAATAAAGAGAACGACTCAGTCATTCCATCATTAAGTCAATTAGAAACTCCAGTCCAACATGGGCTAAATTACGGTGATAGCCTCTAAAACCCTACAGGTTGCCCCTTGTTGAACTTTTTGTAGTTATGTTATAGGATATCATATCATAAACTGCACAGCTTTTAACGAGTTAGAATTCTTCTGGTCCTAACCTGGGTTGGGCTTACCCGTAAATCAAGCTTTATATAATTCCTAATTGTTATTTTTTCCAACCCCTAATTCCTTCTATAGCTTTTTCCGCGGCACTCAAACAAAACCACTTTGGCCGTCATTTCCGCCACACTCAATCACTACTTTTGATCTGATATCCGCTACAAACTAATGGATATGGTGGCCAAGTTACATAACTTTGATGACGATAAAGAAGATGAAGGATCGCTTCTTCCTTGGTTGAGATTACGTGAAATAGATGAAGAAATTCTTGAGTTCTATATGCGGCGAAAAGTGAAGCAGCAGCCTGTTGCAGTTGAACTCATCAAACAGATTGACAGCGACAGATATGATTCACGGGAACTTCTTACAAGTAAGATCTGCTTCCCCTTAATAAATCTCATGAGTTTTCTTACGATTCATCACCATCCAATAATTAAGGACTAGAGTGTCTGATGAAGCTAAATTGATGTAATTGAATGAAACAACAAGATATAGAAGCTAGCACAATTGAGCTTAAACAAAGCATATACGTACTGTCTCGGAGGAGGTATCTGAACTTACCATGCATATATCTTAATTATTATATGATTATATCGATATACCAAAACATTCATTAAATGGTTTAATTGATGTGTTAACATTTTGCCAAGTTTTCATGTGAATATCTAGAAACTCAAGCGTTATATAATAATGTGTTATTCAATAAAATATAATTAGCAAAGGAAGACAGATATTTGGCATGCATGATATATACCATGTGTTTCATATATCTAGGCTAGCTAGGTGCAATTAATGAATTAACCCCATTTTTATTTTATTTTTATATATATTATATAATTAATTCATGGTTTCTGATCTCAAGCCTTTGTTTATTTCTATGCTGTAATGTACAAAGAACTTGCAGAATGTCACCAAAAAAAACAAAAGAACTTGCAGAAGAGTCTTCTACGCGGGAGATTAATAAACCGTGTTTCTTCCTCCCCAGGGGGATAAAATACAAGAACAACATATCTCTAAATGATTCTACTGGATAGGAGCTCTGCCACCTGTCAATCAGGAGTTCTCAGGAACCTAATTGATTCTCCTGACAGGAACATAATTGATTCTACTGGCGGTCTAGATGAGATTCTCTCCCACTCCATCCTCTCAAGCGTCATCGAATTCTGCAAGAAGAATCACAAATTCCAAAAGCGTGTGGATAGCGCTGTGAGGCTCTTGAAGAGTGTTCTGGATCCCTACCAGGACTGGCTCACACGATTCCTTAGCAATAATATATAAACCCATTTTGTCCGACTTGCACGAAGTAAGTTATGATATCTACTTTATTATCATAGCTTGGATTTCCTTTAATTTTGACTTACCACTTTGCAAAACGCGTTAGTACTGTTTCTGTGTTTGTACTTTGTAGGCTGCCAACTATCTCAACATTCCTAATCTCTTGGAGTTCACTTCACTAGTCATGGGAAACATGATGGAAAACAACGTTGAAGAGATATCAGACTGGTGTGGTAGATCTATTTTAGGAAAGCTCTCTCCCCTCGGCATCATCGGAGTTTGATCTTTCACCAAATGCTCTCCCTAAAATACAAGAAACCCATCCCCTAATAATTTAGTTTTTCTTTGGATGGGACTTTTTTTGTCTCCTAGCTGATTGAAGCCATTGCCAGTTTACCAGCCTTTGGGATTTGTATTGGGTTTGCTCTTTTATTAAA